TAGTTCATCAGTTGAAGGGGGGTTGCCTTTGGGGTGTGGCCTGCTTCCAGTATATATGGAAAGAATCTTGCATTTAGCTAGTCATTTCCAGTTCCTGGACTTGAACCAGTGGCCTGTTGTGTTGCCTGCTGATTTTGAGATCATTGCCTTCGCAGCCTGTGAGCCAACAATCTGCCGATCTTGGATTCATCAGCCTTAGCATCCAGCAGCTTGCTATGCTGCCTGCCAGTCTTAGAGTTTATGAGACCCTGTAGTTACATGGTTCAGGAAAAGCCCACATCTTGCTCCAGTGGGCCTGGATGGCAGAGCTGAAGCCCAAGGTTCAGGGGCCTCTACCAGCCCTTAGAGCCAGCATTCTAGAACTCACTCAGACTTCTAGTCTAGTCTTCCTCTAGAGCCAGCACTATGACTTTGGACTTCCCACCTCCTCAACTGTAAAGGAATAGATTTCTGCTTACTAAAGCCATGCACTTGTGGTATTTCTATTACAGCAGCACTGGAGAACTAGGACACCATATTACTAAGAAGCCCTAAGGTTTCCTGAAGTGTGTGTCCTTTCTCTGTAAATATTCATAAATCCAACTCGTTCAACTAAAGGTGTGTTCCTAGTATTTCTTGACTGAAGCATGTTGACAGAATAAATGATTAATAAGTAATTTTTAATTTAGTGAAACTTCCTTCTTTTCTATTTAAGAAAAAAAAATCCTAGGTACAGTATTCAGAAGTCAGGGATGCATATGGAGTTGAAAGAATATTCTTTAAATTATTTTGCTACTTTAATTTTCCTAAGGACTACCAAGTAGTTCTTTTCTCCCATCTGATGTTGTAATAAATACAGCTCTTTTTGAAACCTAAATTTTTAAATGTTTTTAAAAATGAAGGTAGTTTTTTGTAATAATAAATCCCCATAAAAACCCACAGTAAAGCTAATATCAATTTTAAAAAAGTAAATATAGACAAGAAAAATCAAATTATTTTTGTATTGGCTCACTCACATAGGATACTGTACATTTTTAATACAGTCAAGTCATAAAATATTGGAATGAATATGGGGTAATATTTTTGTCCTCTTAATCTTTAATGGGCTTCCCCCTCCCTCCCTCAAGCTTCAAGAACAACATGTGAGATATATTTTCTACTCTGTGATTCTTTCATCACCTCCTGAAAGCTGTGGAAGCTTCCTAAAAGTCCTTTCCCACTCTGTGAAAGGCTTTGGGGAAGTTACATAATATTTCTCCATTAAAATCTTTACATTTTTAATATGCAGGGATAAAATGTTAAAATACGATTTCTGTTTTAAAACAGTAGTTTGATTTCTATAAGATTACTTGTACATGGTTGGAATGAGTCATTTGGAATACTTGTCTATGTCATAAGCAAAAACCATGGCTTACTAAATGAGTATTTGGATTTTCCTTACGTGCCTGGGCAGGTTCGTAGTTTACTGAATATATGACTATCCCAGGAAATGTGGTTTTTCAGCAAAGTTTCTTGTCTGAATAGTTAATGTTTTCTCCTACTGAGAAATTAGTGGTTCTTTAATCTCATATAGACAAAAAATCTAAGGAAATCTATTTATTAAAAATACTTTTGAGCATCTGTTATGTGCCAGATTCTATACTAAGTGCTGAGGTTGCAGAAATTTAAAAAAAAAAAAAAAGCCAATCCGTGGCTGAAGTGGATGGCCGCAGAATAGAAGCTAAGGACATTTCCTTAGATATGTCTTTTTATAGTAAGTTATCTGCATGCCTTTCTGCTCTTGATGTTTTTGGCTGTTGTGTTAGGACTCTTACTTGCATATAAGAAGAGACTGGTATAGTATTTGGCATCATCAAGATACTATCTTCCATTGTAAATTTAGATCAGGCCTCATGCATTAATTAAGCACTGGCTGTACTCTCAAACCAAAAACCACACTTATGCCATCAAATTGATTTTGACTCATAGCAACTGCCGCTGGGTTTCCGAGGCTGTAAATCTTTACATAAGTAGATCACCCCATCTTCCTTCTGTGGAGTGGCTGGTGGGTTTGAACCGCTGACCTTCTGATTAGCAGCTAAGTGCCTTATCTACTATGTCACCAGAGCTCCTTGGTTATACTCTAGGTCCTTTGTTTTGATGAAGAGAAAATGAAATAAAATGGATACCACTCTGCCTATAAGAATCCTATAGTGGAAGAGAGACAGTACCGTGGGGCAAGTGCCAGATGGAGTGCTGTGGTGGTGCAGAGCTTCAATAAGTTCTGACCAGAGCATAAGTTCTAAACCTGGGCTCCATTTGGTGGGCTTCAGGGGTTTCAAGTCAGCTCTCCAACCTCACCCTGACCCCTGTGCTAAAAGACCTCATCTCCTTCAGTTCAAACATTTGCATGATACCTAACACAGTGGCAGGTAACTGATAGCTTTTAGCCACCTCTCCCACCCCTTAGCTCCAGAAAGTACCAGCTGTCTCAGCCCAGCTTCTTCCTGTGGGCCTCAGCTGATCCTGTGTGTGTGTGTATTTCCACCCCAGGTAATTGGGTCAGCTGTTTGTGCTCAAATGATTGACCCCTATCTCTCACCAGGCCACCTTGTGTTTGTTTTTCAGAAGTATTCCTATGATAAATCTTGCACAGATACCAGTGATACAAAATACCTGCAATCCTTACAGAAGACAGACATAAAGTAATCCCTCACAGACACTCAGACACTGTGGGAGAGAGATCCAATGGATCTGCCGACTCAGGACCATAGTACTGGGGGATACCAGACTCAATTGGCACAACAAAATACATAAAAGTCTCGTTCCTCATCCTACATTGGTGAGTAGCGACTGGGGTCTTAAAAGCTTTCAGGCCGCCATCTAAGATGCAGCTAATGGTCTCCTATCATCAGAAGCGAAGAAGAGTGCAAAAAAAAAAAAACAACCAAGGGCATTTGGAAGCAATTAGCCCTAGGACACCATGGCCCTTAAGACCAGAAGAACTAGATGGTGCCTGGCTACCAGTGCCAACCACTTAGAAAAGGATCAAATCTGGAGATCCTGGATAGAGTTGGAGGGAAAACGTGGAACAAAATCCAAAAACTCAGTAATGACCAGAATTACTGGTCGGATGGAGTCTGGTGAGACCCCCAATACTAGGGCCCTCTGATACATTTGTTGTTGTTATGTGCCATCAAGTCGGACCTGACTCATAGCGACCCCTCCTTGGGTTTCTGAGGCAGTATCCCTATGGGAGTAGATTGCCCAACCTTCCTTCCAAGGAGTGGCTGGTGGGTTTGAACCGCCAGCCTTCTTGGCTAGCAGTCAAGTGCCTTAGGCGCTATGCTACCAGAGCTACATTTAGGGCTTGGAATAAAGCTCACTCCCAGGGGCTGGCTCTCAGCCCAGTAGTAAAGAAGATGTACACGCAGATCACTCAACCCAAGGTGACGCACCACAGACTCTATGGAAATGCATCCCTTGGAGCAATCGACCATGGGGCACCAGAGAGGTAACATTAGGAAAATGCAGGACACACAGGAGTACATAACTATGAGGAGCGGGGGAGGGGGGAGATTACTGGGCAGGGAGGGGAGGTGACTGGATTAGGGTTGGGGATGGTAAATGGGGAGTGAAACTAAATGTACATGTAATGTTGAACGTAAAACAAACTCTGTTCTGTAAACTTAAACCTAAAGCACAATTAAAAATTTTTAAATAAAAAATTTTTCACCTAAAATTTGAGTCTTAATGATGAGTCAAATAAGGAAAATTTTAAGTATACTTGGGCTAAGAATACCTGATGATTCATTATCAAAATTCCATTATAGACTGTTATAAGTTGTCATCTATAAATTATAAAGTGACACAAAAATTTTAAGTGGAAAACATCCTGAGTATACTTGGCTAAGTGTTCTTTGAGTTGATGTGAAGTAGCATCTGATCATTTTCCTTAACCTTTTTATTAAGATGTCCCTAAAGTCTTACTCCCCTAGATTTTACTACATTTGTGTACAATTAATACTGTGAGGATTATTATTGCAAGTCCATAATCCCTTATCTTCAATTCTCAAATCCAGAAATTTCTGAAATCAAACATTGTTTTTGTAACTTTATCAGCAAAACCTGACCTGAACCAAAATGTGACCCTATTTATTATATTCTTTGGTTCTCTGCCTTAGTAGTACTCACGTTTTGCTGCAGAAATGTTAATATGTTTGATTGCAAGGGCTGTACTAGATACTTTGTAATTTATGATATATGTACCATATTACCTTTCTAAATTAAAAAAGAAAAAAATACCTCTAAGAGTTTAAATAGGGATTGTGTGTGTGTGTATCCATGTACATCCATGCCAGAATGATTTTAGAAAGCATTTGAATGTTGTAGTGGGTTTTAATGTTGATAAATGAGTTTATATAAACAACACAACAAAAAAGCCTAACATTTAATTTTCTGGTCTGGCTTTTTCTTTGTTTCTACTAGATGTAATAAGTTTGTTTTAAAAGATTTTTTTAAAGCTTCTATAGTTGAGGGTTAAATATAGAAGTGTGACTATGAATGCATGTATCTGTTTGATTTCTTGTACTCACAAAATGAAGATTAAAGTAGCTATAATCAGTATACGTATAAGAAATAGCTACGATCATATATATAAGAAAAAAGCTTCTAAATTGGAGGATTATATAACTACACATGTATACAAAAAGTGATCAATAGTAATACATCTTGTACATTTGAGTTCTTGATTACTCCATGTTGTAATGGAATGCATCTTCACATACCACTGAGTTTAAAAAGCAGAGATGCAGTGATACTTCCTACCTACCCATACCTCCTTGTCATTTGCCATTCAAGTGAAACGATGTAACTCTTTAATTATGGTGGGATAGAACTGACTGATTTTCTGCATGATTATAAATAAACATTTTGTTTATTAATACAGGAAGTATTTTCTGGAAATTGATATTTTCAGGCTTAATACAGTAATTATGTTTTTACTTGGAATCTTCCCCTCTGTTTTTCCTTATTCTGTGCAGATTATCAACGCTTGATGACTGTGGCGGAAGGCATCACCACACTTTTGTTCCCATTTCAATGGCAACATGTTTATGTGCCCATACTCCCTGCTTCCCTGCTACATTTTCTTGATGCTCCTGTCCCTTATCTGATGGGCCTTCAGTCAAAAGAAGGAACTGACCGTTCTAAACTAGAACTTCCTCAAGAGGTAATACTTAATAATGAAATGAAGCATTTGCTGTTTGTTGATTTAGGTCAAGGCTTTTTTTTGTTAGATAGTTTTTGTCCAAATTGTGTCTCTTCAACTACGTGAAATCTTCCAAATACATCTGGGGTAGAGTCTGAGCCATAGCATGTAGATGCTGACTCATGATGATACTAACTCATAATTAATAGACATGGTTCAGAAAAGGAAGATTTTCAGACATAAATATATAAAGATGGAGTACTAGTAGCATTACTCACTGCTTTATTCTAGTAACAGTTCATTTCTTTGCCTCATTCATGTTATAAATTTTGTTTCTAAGTGACACAAACAGATTTTAACATTTTTTAAAAAATCATTGTCTTAACTAAGATGGAAGCTTTGATGCCGTAGTGCCTGAGGCATTTGACTGCTAACCAGAAGGCTGGCGGTTCAAACCCACCAGCCACTCCTCGGAAGGAAGACTGGGCAATCTACTTTCGTAATGATTCTGCCTTGGAAATCCAAGGAGGGGTTGCTATGAGGCAGAAATTACTCGACAGCAGTGAGTTTGGTCTTTTTTGGTTAACTGAGGTGAATTTGATTCTTGACCTCTGTCAGATGAAAAATAACATCTTTCAGCAAGCCAGGGATGATGAAATATCAGATATTTTACTGTTCTGTTTTCAGACCTAAGGCCAGTTATCAACCTGTTCTAAATGTTAGCTTGGCTGGGTGATTGAGATAAAAATCCTGACTCTTGGCTCTTTGCCACCCTAAGGTTACCATGTTTTCTGCATGCTGTATTTTCAAATACTGTTTAAGAAGAAAATAAGTGAATTTTTGAAAGCATTTTGAACCTAGTTTTTGTTAATAGTACTCAGAATTGCAATGTAAAGCCTTTAAAATGAAATATTGATGAGGGTGCCATGGACTACTAAAAAACATAAAGTGGTTAATTACATTATATTGTTTAGCTATTTAATTACACCTTTCTTAATGAAATCTCTCATGCTGTGCCTCACTTTTATTTGTTCTTATTTCCCATAGTGATTTTCATTTTGATAAGTGAATTGAAATATAAATTCAGCTATAGCCATGTGAATATTATACTCAGGAATGATACATGTAGTTACCCATTGCTTAATTTTTTTCCTAATGAATGTATCCTTACCAAAATTGACATGTTTCTTCAGGAGAAGATAGCTTGTTTTAGTTCACATAAAATACACACACACGCTGCCTTGCTCTTTCTGGGCTTATGTATGTATTCTTTTTCCTCCGGATTTCACCTATTTTTTTCTGTTCCCTAAACTTTCTTGTTTTCTTTTTCCTTAAATTAATCTCAGTATCTTGTTAGTTCAAGGAAATAAATCCTTTAAAATTTCAGTAAAAATAAATAAACAATGTATTTTGTTTTAAAGACTAAAACAGTGATGTATTTTAGTTTCATGTTGAGTATATGGTCTGTTTTGTGTATTAATCAGTTTGTTTGTATTCATAAATACTGCCTTTCCATTTTTGCATGAGTAATAATTGTTGAGAATTTTTTAAAAATTACCTTGATATATTTGTAATAGGGAAACTTTCTGTCTCTGTGTCTGTGGGTATCCTCTGACTCTTAAGGTATGCAAAAAATAACAAAATTCCATATGCTTTTTTTTTTTTTTTTTTTGCATTATGTTTTGTTTTCTCCTTTTTTATTAGACTATCTCTGCATTATGTTTTAATCACTAACTATCACGGTGCATTTGTCTGCTTTGACAA